ATTTTATTTGTTGATGGAGTGACACTTAACTTCATGGCTTGCTGAGTCAATTTATAATGTACATATAGTTCATAATATACACCTCAGGTTGCATGATAACTTGGTGGCCTCGGTTCAAGCATTCCATTTGTACTAAGGCCAATATCAGGCCAAAAGCTGCTTCTCAAAGGGGCAACACTTATCCACAGAGGATAGCAGGAATTTGTTTCAAATTTAAGGGCCTATGGGGTCCTGCTGAAGGTTTGAAATAGTATCTCTATCTATCACTGATACTTCAAACACCATTGGATCTGCTGGACTATATATATGGTCCATGTGGCAGAGCCTGGACCTATCGCAAAGCCTTCTCTTGTTCTGGTCTCCACTCAAAACTAACAGCTGTGGGTAACTTAGTAACAAGATGGAGTAATACATCCAAATGAGGAATAAAATCCCCTCCAAGTATTGTGCCTCTCTTTTTGGTTGTAGGAAAGGTCAGATACAACAAATCAGCCTTCACTTTAGAAGGGATACTTTGACATGCTATGCGCCACTGGTCTGAAGAAATTTCACTGAGGTAGAAGGCCTCTAAACTTCTGTTGGATTTATTTCCCCCACACTATGACACACAAATGTCTTACAAATAAATCTAGAATAGTAGCTATCTCTATTCCACTAGGTTTATTCGACATAATGTCATCAGTGTAATGGATCTGTGTGACATCTTGTGGAAGGAAAAGTTGATAAAGATTCCTGAGAATAAATTTTTGACATAAAGGTTTTACCGTTGAGGTACCTTTGAGCTGGACCATGAATCTGTGCTTCTAGTTTTTCCAGCTGAAAGGAAATTGCTTCTGGTAGTCCTTATTGACAGAGAGGAGAAAAGTACATTTGAAAAATTTGTAGCTGTATATCAGGCACCAGGGGTATGTTAATTTGCTTAAGCACTGAAATCACACCTGGTGCAGCAGCTGCAATCAGAGTCACCACCTGGTTAGGTTTACAATAATCCATTCTTCAAGATCTATCTGTCTTCTGCACAGGCCAAATGGACAAGTTGAATCAGGTGTGGTGGCAATCATCAATCCTGCATCTCTCAAGTCCTTGACGGTGGGATTAATCTGTACAGTTCCTAGAGGAATGGGGTATTGCTTTTAGTTTACTATTTTCTAAGGAAAGGGCAGTAGTGACATCTACTTGGCCTTCTCCATAATAAGAGCCCTTATATCCAAGTCAAGGAAGAAAAGTGGTGATTCTTCTAGCTGCTGAGTATACCTAGTCCAATTATGCATTCCAGAATAGGGGAAATAACCATAAGATGGGTTCAGGGATCTACTGTAAGACAGACTTGAGCTAAAACCCCATTGATAATCTGACCTTCATAAGCCCCTACTCTGACTAGTGAACCACATTGACATTTTGGGATTATTGTCAGTTCTGAGCCAGTGTGCTCTGTACTTCCTGAAGTGTCTGATTATTTCCTTTTCCCCAGTGTACACTTACCTTGGCAAAAGGCCATAGATCACTTTGACAAAAGCTAGGAGAAAGATTAGCACTATAAATTATGATAATGGACTGGGGTCCTTTCTTAAGGGGACCTGGCCTCCCCTTTGTTCAAAGAGTTGTTTATAGTTTATTTGTTTTTTGGTACCAGGGATCGAACTCGGTACCTTGCACTTGCAAGGCAGGCACTGGAACCCCTGAGCTAAATCCCCGGCCTGAGTTGCTAGTTTATAAACTGTCTGAAGACAGGGGATTGATTGGCTGTTTTTGTGATGCAAGTTAGACTTTTTCACTTGACCTAGAACTTTACTGCTTATACAGATCAAGTAACAATTTATTAGGCTTCTTTTCTATTTCACTTTTAGGAACTCCATGACTAGTTAATACCATAAATCAGCATAAAGAGACTATTCTGATTGCTGCTTTGAGTCCCCTGTCTTTATAGTATCCATACCCATGTTGCTTTTTGTGGGTGAGTACTACAGTTGGCCCCTGCCTTTTTGGGATCCTATTATTATCATTGAATTTAGAGTTCTCAATTGAGTTATTGAAGGTCCTACTATAAAGTCTGTCATATAGAGAAAAGTCATCACAGAATTCTTCAAGGATGCTGAGGATCCCCTCACAAATTTATTTTTCAGTCATGGTGAAAGATGTTGTCTAGTCCTTTCAAAGATGGGTCTTAAATGAAAAATTTACACAAAAATTTTAGTTTCTCTACACTTTTAAATCTATTCCTCTACATTAAATTAAAGCAAGTTTGTCATTTTTAACTTGCTCCTGGGGGGACCTTTTGACTCTTGTTTCAGCAAATCAATTACACAAACTGTTAACATCGTTTCTTACTTCACAAGCTGCAATGCTATATACAGATTCTCTGCTTAGCCCATATCAAGAAATTTGGTGTCATCCAACTTTTCATTCCTTTCATCATTATCCCACATCTTTAATATTCAATCTTGCACTTTTCCTGGATTTCTTTCTATATACAATTGAAAATTCAAGTAGTTATTTTCAAGTTGTGTAATTTCTCATGGTTCATAAATTGTATTTCATTTTTAGGGTCCTGCTGGGGCTTAGTCTAGTTATTGGTCTAGAACTAAAGAAGAGTAGTGAGATAGTCTGTCCTCTAAGGTAACTGCCTCAAGGGAGGCCATTTGAATTTCTTTGGAAAATGCAAGTTTAAGCCTCTTAGATAGGGGTCAGGAGGCCATTCCCACTGGGGATGGAGTGGCCTCTTCCACTGGAAAAGAATGCTGTTCAGAATTTAGGGACTCTATGTACCCAGATTCACCAGGCTATTCCCACTTATCTGCATTTGCAAATTCAAGATTCCATTTCTTCCCAATCAAAGGAAAATAATTGAAGATTATTCTCCTCTATTCTGTTAAATGATTCATTGCTTTATGGGCTCCTGCATGAGCTGTGTCCTCCCTTCAGTGGAGGAGGTGGGGATCAAAAGTGTTTGGCTATCAGATGGCCTACTGCAGAGATTAGACTGTCTTGCACATTTGCCATCCTGGAATGCTTTTAGCTTTTTTTGGGATAATCTAGTGGAAATGCTTGCATAATTTATTCCCCCTGCTTACTCTTTTCTTTTATGCTAACTGCTGCTGCTAATAGAAGCCATTCTAAGGGCATGTCTTAAACTAAAAGACCCAGACTTCTGATTGTCATTGAATATGGTGAATAAACAGAATTAATTGATACCTACTCTGTTGACCTCATTAGTTCTTTGTCTTTCCTCACCCTCCCTTTTTTGTGTATGTCTGTCTCTTCTAAATCAGCAATTCAAGGCTCCTAGAGACCTTCAGTGAAGGGAATTATCCTTTTCCTTTCTAAATCCATTGCATTTGCTACACTTTTTCCTGCCTCTAATCCAGTGAATATGCTAGTGTTTAGATGTATTTGGAATGCTTTCTCCTTTTCCTCTGGGACTATATATAACTCCCCCTTCAGGAAGGTTTCTCCATCCACCTGTCCACCTTCATGCATAGAGTCCCTTATGGCATAGCAACTGAACCATATAGTTATGATATTATACTGCATTTAATTCTCTCACCATTTAAATGAGGTTAATTTTCCTTTCTTATCATCCCATTTCATAAGTAAGGCTGTTAATTAGACAGGTGTGTGACAGTGGCCAAAGGCAGTGTGGTCTGTCAGGGTAAGGATTTTCACACAATCCTTTTTCACTCTCAGGTTTCTTCCCCATTTAAAGTGAAAATGTTAGGTTAATGTGTGGCTGGAGGATGCACAAATAAATAAGAAAAGCTGATAGATAAATCAATTTGACCAGAAAAAGCCCTTTAGAACTCCTATGTATCATTTTTAACGAACCTGGTGGAAATTTATGACTTCTAGGTACATTCATCACATGAATGTACAATTTTTAAAAATTGGCACAATTTTTAAAAAATGAATTTAGCTGCTGACTGGCACTGCTCCCTCTGTCACAGACTGGAAATCTCTCTAGTAGGCAATACAGAGATTTTTCAAAGCTTTTGAATAACAACCCAATTTTTCCTAACACATGGAGTCAAATCTTTGGGGTTTCAGTTTATCTGATAAATAATTCATATCTTTTATTCATAAAAAGAAGAGATCAATCAGCTAAGCCGACTACTTAGATAAACTTTATAATTCAGAATGTATCATCATTATTCCTAATGTACTTAGCTTAGATGTCAACCTGAAGTTGAAGCTCAGCATTGAGAATCTCAAGTCACAGACTGGTAAACTGTAACATTAATCAAATGAATTCAGTATATTAAGGATAAGGCTGGTGTTTTCACTTCATACTTTTATAAATTACTGCCTCTCACAATCAAAAAATATTTTGTGCTGGGGAATAGGGTGGGAAACAGAAAGTAGTGGGAGAAAGGTCTTACAAAGAAGCATAGATACTTTTGAAGTGATGGATATTTCCATCTGTCTTGATTATGATGATAGTTTCATATGTGTATATCTACATCAAAATGTACCAAGCTAGCTGGATGTGGTGGCATATACCTATAATCCCAGCATTCTGGGAGGCTGACACAAGAGGATCATAAGTTCAAGCCCAGACTGAGCAATTCAATGACTAAATGGGGCCCTGTCTCAAAATAAAAAATTAAGAGAGCTGGGGATGTAGCTCAGGACAAAGGTCCAGGATTCAGTTCTCAATATTGCAAACAAAACAAAAAACTTTACCATACTGTACACTTTAAATATTATTGTACTTCAATTATACTCTACTAAAGCTCTTAGCAGTAACCTGAAGATATAAATTTTTTTAAATTTTCAGTGGTTAAGAAAACTGGCTGTGGCATTGGGCATACCCGTGGCTCTTTCATTTACTGTCCGAGTGACTTTGAAGAGGTTTTTCATCTCATCGAGTCTCATTCTCCCATCTGAAAAATGGGGAATATAATGAGTACCTAATGCAGAATTAAATGAGATAGAGCATGAAGAGAACACTTAGAACAGCACTAAGCACAAATTAAGTCTGAAAGAAATGGCAGCTATTATTTTACCTGCAACTCTGATATCAATCTTGTCGTAGATGAAAGCATACAGAATCACAAGCAGATTCTTAAAGCATTTCATTGATTGCAGCAAGTCAGCTCCTCTTATTAAACATTCACTTGTGGGCAGATCCCCATAACTGGTGCTGCTGGGAAGTAAAAACATGAACAGATCAGCTCTACTAACCTCAGTGAGTTTATAAAATGAATTGGGAGAGACACATCTGAATGAAATCAGATATAGAAATCATATATAGAAATAGACAAAGAAATACCAATTTAAGTAGTACAAGTAATAAAAGTAAAAATATTTGTTTCTGTACTGAACATTACAAATTGTTCTGATTATTCTCTAGACAATACAGTATAACAACTGTGTAGTAGTTACATTGTATTAGGTATTATAAGTCATCTGGGGATGATTTAAAGTATATGGGGTAATGTACAAATACTATACCATTTATATAAAGGACTTGGGAATATGAGGGTTTTGTCATCTTCAGTGGGGGAGAAGAGGTTATATTGAGGGAAGACAGTACAAGCTGTTCTCTGAAATAATTGGCAATGAGTGATCTTTGTATGTTTCATAAAACAGCTGGGAGATTTAGAACTTTAAAAATTTCTTCCTGTAGTCTATATGGAGGAAAATATTTGAAAATATGAACATGTACATGTACACTTTTTTCTTGTCATTTCCTAAGCAGTATAACAACTGTCTACATGGTATGAGGTGTGATAAGCTATCTAGCAGAATTTAACATATACAAAAGGATGTGGTAGATTGTGTGCAATTGGTATGGCATTTTATATAAGGGGCTTGAGCATCTGCAGATTTTGGTGCCCTCAGAAGATCCTGGTAAAAGTTCCCCTCGGATAGTGAGGAATGACTAAAGTTGCCATTGAAAAGTGCTAGATTCTGAACATAAGTTGGTAGCCTGGGAATGGAATGATTTGAGTGGTACTTTCTAAGAATGCCCTGTATTATTTGACACAGAATATTGTGTGATAGTGTTATGTACCTGTTAGCTTTAGTTATCCACTAGTATGGCTAAGAGCAGAAGTATATGAAGCTTGCTGAAAGCATGAGATAGCACCAGAAAAATCTAGAAACTTTGGTCAGTAAAATATCTCTCATATTCTGTGGAAATCACCCATCAAATATGGTAAAAAAAAAAATAAATAGGGGAACAAAAGTAAAACAGAACCCAAAATGTCTTCCTGTTGTGGGAATACTGGTCTGATAAAGAGGCAGTGGAGTGGAACAGTTTGATTTTGACTCTAAGCAGAATTTCCTGGGTTTGAAACAACTCTGCTACATAACAGATTGTGAGACCTCAAGGAACTACTTACTCTTTCTGCGCCTTAGTTTCTTCACCTGTGAAATGGGGATAATATGATATTTATAGACCTGGTTAAATTGTAGTGAGAATTAAATTAGTTAACAAAACAAAGTACTTAGAACATAGGAAGTACTAAAAAATGTTAGTTGTTATTATCCATTAGAAAATAAGCTCCATGAAGGTAGAGATTTTTGTTTGTGTTGTTGGCTATTATATCCGACGCATATAGAACAGTACCTGGCACATAGTGATCATTCAGTAAATATTTATTAGATAAATGAATGAATACTTAATTCCTCTTTCATTCCTCATATGCATATACTTCATATATATATATATATATACACACACATATACATATAGTATGTGTGTATTTCCAAACATATCTAGAACTTGAGCAGTTTTTTTTACTGCATTCTCTGTTACCATCTGCCCACTTGTCTCCAATTCTTTTCACCTGAATTATTTCAATAGCTTCCTAACTGGCCTGGCTGCTTCTGTCCTTTATACCTGCCCACCTGCCTACAGGCTCCCCTTTATCTTTTCTTCAAACAACAAAATGATCTTTTAAAAACATAAGTTATCTCAGACTGCTCTTCTGTTTGAAAGTCTCCCATAGCTCCCCGGCTCACTCACAGGACTGAGAAAAGTTTTTGTGTCTGTTCTCTTCTTAGTTACCTCTCTTATCTCATATTTGATTCTTTTCTCCTTTGTTTATTGTACCTTCTTTGCATTGGAACAGAATTAGCATTTCTTTAAAATACCAACCACACACTCCTGTTTTAGAGTTTTTACACGTGTTCTTCCTTATGCATAAATACTCCTCTTCTAGATATGCCCTTACCTTTATCACTTCTTTTCTTACTTCCTTAGAAAGACCACTCTTGATCATTGAGTATAAAACAGCATCTCAACCTCTAATATTCCCTAGCCACCTTATTCTGATTGACTTTGCTGCATACCAGTTATCACCATATATATATATATATATATATATAATCACT